AAGGCACACGAAAACTCGACGACGTCGTCATCCCCCCAAAGCGCGCCTCCCGCTTCGACGACCCCATAGGCCTACATGTCAAGAAGCGGAGCGCGACAGCGACAGCGACAGCGAAGCCGAATGGCGTGTCTTGATATCCTGGCACGGTTGGATTCGCAAGTGGGCCGGAGAGTCTGGGTAAAGGTATGGCGAATTGGGGAAATTGCGGGTTGATGTGATGGGATGGAGGGCGAAGGTGTGCCGTGTTTTAATCTGTACTTTAAAAAAGAAACGGGATGCTTTTTTCGCATTAAATCTTAGTGGTTGTGCTTTAACCAATCAGATCACAGTGTATCACTCGCTGACCACCCACCCGTCCTCTATCGTACCAGTTAGACTATGGCACAAGCATTTGACGGGACCGAAAGGAAAAGTCTGGATTTTCCCCGAGTCGAACCTCCGGGCGCCGCCCCGCAGCAATTAGAGGAGATAAGGGGAAGAGAGGGGAAAGAAGGAATCATAGATCCCAACTTTAGCAGTTACCACATTTTTTCGAACTCACTCACGCACAGCACAGCCCAATTACACTGCCAGCATCGTATCGTACAGCACTGTACAACGCAAACATGGTATGATATAGCACTCGTATTATGACAGAAACCGACCACCCGCAACGAAAGCAAACAAATAGATGAATAACCACTCCTTGATAACCCCCCTACGCACCTAGCACCTAGCACAGCTAGCTCCCTCTATGCTTCCATTATACCACCTCTACCCACTAAGCTGAGCTATAAGCTATAAGCAAAGTCCCTCCCTCCCTCCCTCCCTCCCTCCCTCCGTCCTTCCTTTATTTTTTCTCTTTTCCCCCTCCTTCCCACCCAATCGGTTCACAACATTCACGCATTTAACCCACTCCCACTCCTACTCACTGTTCATTCCGCCTGCGCGCTACCATCACCACCTACCGAAGTGCGATGCGGATGGATGGATGGATGGATGTTCTTTAATTGTGCCGTGCGTGGATATCTTTTTCTTTTCTTTTTTTTTTTCTTTTTTCCGCATCTTTCTTCCTCTTCGGAGTCAGTGTGATTGGCGCTTGGGGTACCGGTATTTTGATATCGCGGTCCAATAGCTCGTGCGGGCATGGAAGACACGGCTTGTCGTGCGCGAGCCAATGATGGGCGATACTGGAATGTCCAATTGAATAAAGAACTCACTTGTGGAGGGGAGGGGAAATTTCTCTGATTTTTTTTTTAACCCGCTTTTTATGGCGTCCAGTGTGATTCAATGGAAAAGTATAGGTTGTATACTTTGATGGAAGGGTTGTGTACAGTACAGGAATTGAATAAGAAGAATGAGAAATAATAGAAGAGAAGAAGAAAAAAAAAAAAAGATGCGATATGATACTTATAGATACGTTTCAGAAGAAGAAATCAAAATTGACAGGGAAAGATGAAAGAACAGAAAAAGAAAAAAAAAACCCCTGGCCGAAAAATACAAAATAAATAAACACCCAAATAAAATCAAACGAAACAACCCGTTGCATTAACCAATCACATATACTTAACCAACCCCTTATCGATATACGCCTCATACCTTGACTGCCTTATGGGCCCTCCCCGCCCGCCACCAATCCTAAGATCCCTTATCCCATTGGCAACATCCTCGGCGCTCTCATACTCATAATCGTAGCCCCTGCTATCCGGAAAGTATCCACTACGTCTCCGGCTCAGACTCCTGGGCCGAGGATTACCGTGATACACGGACCTGTACCTCGGCCTTCCCCCAGAACCACCATCTCGGGGTGCGAGAGCGTATTCGTAATCTATCTCCGGGTGTCCGGCCCTCGCGTTGTAAGTGCTGCGTCGGCGAGGTTCCCTGAAGCTTCGGCCGCGGGGGAGCGGGTGGTGGTTTGGAGAAGAGAGATATTCTAGGTCACGCTCGCGCTCACCATGGACTGATATGCTGCGGCGGCGGGCGGGGGGTGGTGGCTCGAGGACGTAGTCGCCGTTGGCGCCTAGATAACTGCTCGTGCTGCTGCTTGTGGAGCCATCGCCGCTGCTGCCGCTCATTGAAGACACCCACTGATCTGTGCGGTACATTTTGTCGGTTTCCCAGTCTGTAAAGTCCATTGTTGCGCGGTTTGGGTTTGTGGCGGCGCGGCCGCGGCGGGGGCCTCCGCTGGTTGCTGGGCGGTGAGAGTCTAAGTGGTGGGGTTCGCGATAGGTGTGAAAGGATTCGTGCTCATTGTGGAAGCGGGGTTGGGAGGGGGGCCCTTGGTGATGGGAGTTTGAGCGGTGGAGGTCCATGGCTGGGTCGGGGTGGGGTATCTGTCGGGAGGGTGGGTGGGAGTCGCGACCTCGGGGGTCATGGAAGTCTGCATCGCGTGGGGGGTAGTCGCTGCGGGGGCCATTGGGCATACCACCGGGCATGCCACCGGGCATGCTGTCTGGCATGCCTCCCCTACCGCCCATACCACCTTCCATACCAACTCCCATACCACCTCCCATACCACCACCTCCCATACCACCACCACCACCCATACCACCACCACCCATACCACCACCACCCATACCACCACCTCCCATACCACCACCTCCCATACCACCACCTCCCATACCACCACCACCCATACCACCACCACCCATACCGCCACCACCCATACCACCACCACCCATACCACCTCCCATACCGCCACCTCCCATATCACCTCCCATACCGCCAGGCATAGCAGGCATAGCAGGCATAGCAGGCATAGAAGACCTATTCCCGGGAACGTTCGAATAAGGGTCAGCCGCGCCAAATGTCCCTTGCGGAAGCTGACTCCTTATTGCTGGTCTCAGGAAAGGCTCTTCCCTGCCCTGTTGATGCTGCGGGTATTCCCCAGGGATCGGAGAAACCTCACTAATCCTGGGTCCATCGGTCTGATCGAAATTCTGATTGGGTCGTGTAGGTGCTCTCGGAGGCTCGGGCACTGGAACGCCAAAGTTCCCCGGCCCAAATGGTTCCTCCTCCCCGTACGGACGTTGCGGGAATGCGCCTGGGGGGGTGGGTAGATTTGTGCCTGGGTAGTTGCCAGGGAGAGGGGGTGGTGGGATCTCTACTGGCTGGACCTTGAATGAGTCGGGGCCTTGGCGCGGATGGGAGCCGGGTCGCCCTCTCGATTCCCCGCGAGGCATCTGGGGCTGTGGGCCGCCGATGCTGTGTCGGTGGTGGTACTGGGGGCCCTTCTGACCTCTTGGTAAATGGGAGTATATTGCCCAGAATGTCTTAATGGCGTCGGGCTTCTCCTTACCGACAGCAGAGATGACCCAATGCCATCCTGGATCCCTCTCCGCTTCGTTCAGCCTGCGCTCCTGTATTTTTATGTGTTCCCGTTGGTAAAACGCCATCCCGCTAAGAATGGCCAATATCCCTTTCCCGGGCTTCTCATGTCTTCGAATCCGCCTCTCTGCAGCATCGGGACTGATGTCCCTGACGATGTGATCACACACGATCCGTCCGCTCCCCCAAAAACTCTTGTTAGGCCGTTTCCTGAAGCTGACATACAGCACCTCCGGTGGTTGTCCGCGCTGGATAACTAGTGGTCTTCCCCGACCGCCACCACCACCACCACTGATACCACCTCCCGGGAAAGCCCCCGGCATGCCCTGAAACATTTCCGGGCGCATACCCCTTCCGACAGAGGCCCGCCGCTGCACCGAGGAGTTTGGTGCGGGGCTGTCAAGAGGTGGGTTATCCTGGTGAATCTGGGGGCGAGAGTCCCGCCCTCGCAGCCTGCCGCTGAATTCCCCATGGGGACCGGGGGGACGGCGGTGGAATTCGGCGTCTGGGTCGGATGGGGGGAGATCGAATTGGAGGTTTGAGTCAGGAACGTTTTGGAATTGGCCGGGCCTGCCCTGCAATGTTTGTGGGAACGACATGTAGGCTTAAGAATAGTAGGTGATAACAATGACAATGGGAAACGGGATAGCGAAGAGACTATCGAACGCCTGGTCCCTATCGATAAGAAATTGAGGACCTGCAAAGCTATCCTCGCTAAAGAGAAGGCAGGTGGATGCTGATCTTGGAGACCTCCTGTTGAATGGCCAGAGAATCGGTGGTTTGAGAGAAACGGGAGGGAAAGAATGCAAGGCGAAAATGAGGAAGGCAAAGCAGGAGGAGGAGGAGAAGGAGGAGAAGGGGAGAAGGAACTAGAGGAGCAAGACGCCAGCAGTTTATACCATAATTTTGCCTGGTCATTCAAGCAGACTGGACTTACTACGGTACAATACGGTAGTTGTATGGTGTTAAAGAATCCAGCAATGCCTCCCACCACCACCACATACCCCTCCACCCACCCATCCAGAGCCAAACTCACCCACACACATTCACCCACACGACTCTGATATCTGGCGTCCATCATTGGTGGTGAGTAGGCCTCCAGCATCGATTACCGTAGCCAAACCGCGGACAGGGCAACGAAAGGGAAGAAAGTGTTTCACGGGGTAAGCCAGTTGGATTCTCCAGCCTAGCTAGCTAATCGCGTTCACCCCACATCCATGTTTGTCCTTGTCCCTGGACACACACATACGCCCACACCCACACTCTCACTCTCACTCTCACTCACACTCACGCTCACACTCACACCCGCAACTCGCACACTCACACACACACACACACGTAGAAAAGCTCTCACCCAGACGGGAATTCCACAGGTGGTGGTTGTGGTGGTGATGGTGGTGGGTGAGACTCGACTGTGGTTTATGCCGTGCAACTATCGTACTGTACTGTACTGTAACATAGACCGCCGTCACCGCTCACAGGGTAGTGGCGGCTGCCTACCGGCAAGTCGAGAGTGGCCGTGAAGAGGCCCGTTCAGCTCGCCATTACCGGTATGCGCGTTTTCCCACCATCCTCCCACCTCCTCCGAGTAAAAACAAAAAACAAGAACAAAAAGGAACCTATCACAAACATGGGTAGTATCCGTGTTGTATTATTACCCTTCTTGGCTCCCTTTTATTCCGTTTCCTGCATTCTGGCTAGTTTAGCTCATTCGGCCAAATGCTCCACGATCGCCCCCAGTGTAGATTTCCCTGATGATGGCGATGATGACTTGCCGTGGGGTTCCGTAATCACTGGGTCCCTTGCACTGCATCGAGGGCCACATCGGGGCCTTTCATGCCTTCCTCTTACCGGTATAATCATACTGTAGCTAGGTAGACATGGCTTCCGCACGAGTCAGATCACGGTACCCCCCCCGCATTTTCAGCCTCTGACCGGGGGGGGAGGGAGGGAAGTCACCGCCGCAGTGGGGTACGATACCGGCATTGTACTCGTACAGTGTAGTACCGGTACTGGTATTATGCTACTGCACCGTATCATGCGGAAGGGTACTCTGACAGCCCCAAATAACTTTACCTAGAACTTCAAGACAAAACCCCTGCAATTTAGGCCTTCCCCAGGCCCCGGAGGCGGCGTAACCAATTGACACAGCCGCCTAAGGAGAATCAGAAGCTAAAGAGAAGAGAAGCAGAGAGCCAAACAGTATCTTTAGTTCGCCTGGTTGTCCAGGAACGGTATCGACTAACCGGTACGACGCGATATCATAGCCCTCCATACATGCCGTACTCGGGTACCGTATTCACTTTTTGTTTCAAAAATAGAAAGGAGAAGGAGAAAAGAAAAAAAGAAAAAAAAAGGAAAAGGAAAAGAAAGGAAAGAAAGGAAAGAGAGAGGCCATGAAGCTAACTTGGTCCGCAGTCGGAAGGAAGGAAGGAAAGAAGAAAAGAGAAGAGGGAAACCTTGTATCATACGAGCACCGTAGGAGCACAGTATGATACTCGTCCTAGAAATCTATCTTCCTACTTCGTATGATACGGTACAGTATCACGGTAGACTTCGCCGCACAGGATTTATTTGTCAGAGAGAAGGCTCGGGCAAAATAAGAACCAATACGCAATTAAGTAATCCCCCTCATTCCTTCCCTGCTCCCCCACCAATCCCGATATGGCCTCCCGTATGATACTCCCTCCCTCTTCCCCCCCCCCCCCCAAACCTAATCAAGACTCACGCTTCCCATCGGCTTCCACCACCACCACCACCTCTGGATCGGCCGACGGATCTTCCCTCCCCCTCATCTAATACGGCTGGGAAGGGAAGAAAGAAAGTTATGACACGAACTGAACCCTATTACTTTACAATACGCCCAATTATGCCCCGACATGTTTCTTCACAGGACTCGCCTGTAACGGGTACGGTAGCACCTACGGTACCGTATCATATTATAGTGGTGATTATGGTAGGCAGTTTTTGGCCATGGTAGGTGGTAGGTATGATACCAGTAGAGTGCTGTACGGCATTGGTGAAGTCGGAAAGTACTCGTTCAGTACTAGTACTGCACTAGCTAATAGTGCCAGTAAGTAATTATCACACCAGTAACGCGTAAGGAACGCTACGAGATCCGAGTGAGTGAATATTACAGTACTCGTAGAGAGTCTGCGCGAGGAAGGCCTAGGGTAACTAGGTGTGAGTTATTAACAACGTTGCTAGGGGTTGCCACCACCATCAAGACCCCCCCGGAAAATTCAAGTTTGCCACCGTAGTCTAAATTCCATCCATTTAAGAGGTCAATTCACAATTCACCAGCCAATTCCTAACTTTCTTGAAACTGCTCTTGTCAGGATTTCCCTCGAGAAGAATGGCCGCAAAATCATACCTGGGTGGGGGGGCATAGGGGAAAAGCACAATGGATAGTGGGCATTTGTGGCCCCTCGAATTCCAGGTCCAATTTTCGGGGGTTTTTTTTTTTGATTTTTACACCTTGACCAGATGGAACTTGAAGAAACCAGGTGGCCAACCCCTCGTTAACTTGTGTTAACACCGCCCAGATCTCACTGAACAAAAACTCTATTGAGTGAGTGAGTGATCGTGAGTCGACGGAAAAAGGAAAGAACTACCGGTCCAGTACTGTTCTTGTACTACGGTAGCACACGCAATGCAATGATACAAAACTGGTGAAGAGGAAGGAGAAAAGGCAAAAAGCAAAAGCAAAAAGCAGACCATTCCACCCTCCACTGTTCTCTAGAAACACACTCTCATACCATGGATCAAAACCCATCCATCCTCCATCGAACAAGTGCAAACCTGCTTTCATCCCCTCCCCGTCCATCTGTCTCCTCGAGTATCCATCCATGCATCCCTATATTCTGGGCAAATTCACAGCCTGGCATGGAAACCTACAGACAAACCCCCAAGTGCGCATTCCCCCCCCCCCCCAAGAACGTGACGCAACCACCCTACTACGCCATCGCAAGCCCCAAAACACAAGGCTGCCGAAAAAGCTCCCTATCCACAGTTTTTCGGGGCTCGTGTTCGCGAGGCTGTTTTTTTTTTCTATCGCTTCGCTTGGCCGATTGGTAAATGTACCGTACGGTACACTGCAGTATTTGTAAATGGATGCAGCTTATGCTGTTGCGCTTCTGAGTAGCGTAGGTGGACGAGTATCATCAGATGGGTCGCCAGCGCAACAAATTGTGCTACGGTGAGCGCTTTCAGGAACAGATGTTTGATTGGTCGTGGGGAGAGGAGGAGTTTCGCCCAGCGTTCTGGAAGGATACGGTCTATACGGTAATTTGATGGAAGGAAGATGGGTGGATGTGAGGGATAGTGTACTGTTGACGAGAGTATGGTAGAGATCTGGACTGCAGTCATATAACTGTACGGTATCTCACAGAGAGCATCACGTACGACGCACAGCCAGCTAGCTCGCATTCACAGAAGGAGCATCAATTGCACGAGCCCGCGGTTACCATACTAATACGGTACTGCACTGTACCCTACTGTACGAGTGCTCTCGGGGAAGAGATCCACACGCACAACGCTCGCACCGAACACCCCTCCCTCCCAATGAAATTGCGCGCAGATCCAGACACCCAGGAAAAAGGAAAAAGGAAAAAGAGAAAAAAAAACAAGAGTAGCATTCGTAATTATGGCATTAATTTGTAGCTCAATAATCCGTTATGATCTTCTGTTGCTTCCAAAAGAAGCACAGCACATTAAGACCTATCAGGGCACCATCAAGTGCAAAACCCACCAATCAACCCACCCCCTCCATCTCCATCCACCCAACACACTTTTCTTCGACACTCTCGGGGGCTCTGAACCGATAACATCAACGAGGAAACCAGTGTGGTACCCCCCCGGGAAGCGTACTAGCAGACGACGGCTGATTAATAGCACACTAGGGGAAAAGAAAAATAAGAACATTTCCGAGAAACATCGACCGGGCTCCCGGAAGAGCTATAAAACAAGAAAGAAAGGAAAAAACACCCTGCCAAAAAAAAAAAAGCCCAATCCCATTTACATAATGGTACAGCCCGAAAAACACCCTCCCGGTTTCCAATGATTAAAGACCCCGCCTCTTTCTAAACATTATATCTTCTTTTTTTCGACCGTAATTCCAGCCTTAAAAAATATCGCATCCGGTTTCTTGCCGGAGAGAGAATTAGAAGAAAAAGAAAAAAGAAGCAATCGAATCTATAGAGAGAGAAAGGAAGAAGAAAAAACTCCTTAAAGAGAAATGGAAATCATTAGGGGGGGTAAGGGAATATGCACTACCGACTGAAGAAGCTATTGGCCCAAGAGAGAAGGAAAAAAAAAGGAAAAAGCCAACTCCTAGGTAAAAATGAGAACGAAACGATGCATCTGCAACTTATACCCCCGACACCCTTGCTAGTGAGAGATAGGGAGAGGTAAAGTATCTGTACATTAATCCCCAGAAAAGACATTCCAGAAAAGTGACCGCAGGAAACCATAAACTCGCCATGTAAAGAGAACCGAAACCATTGGGCATCATTTGACGACTATCTAAGAGGAACTTGGATATCCTTGACACCTCTCTTCAAGACTTCTTCCAAAGGCCATCTCGGAGGAACAGTAACCAAGGTACGACGTTGCTTCCGCTCCTTTTCCATTTCTGGCGTCACACCGGGCACCAAAGGAATGGCACCACCAGCGAGGCCACTAGAAAACTTGAGCTGCAGGACATCTCCGATCTCATCACATGCAGTGAGGAGTCTATCCAGGTCATCTTTGGTGTGAGCTGCGGATACGCAAAACCTGGCCCTAGAGCTAACGAGAGGAGTGGCCGGGTATCCAACAACGACGACAGCAATCTTGCGACGAAGCATTTCGTGGGAGAAGGCTGGCATCTTGGCAGGGTTATACAGCAGGAGAGGGATAATAGGTGAGTCATCTTGGCCATAAACGATAAACCCGAGTCTCTTCAGCCCTATTCTAAGATAGCGAGAGTTGAATGCAAGCCGTCTAAGACGTTCTTCGCCCTGTCCGATCACCACTTCACCGGCAATCAGACGCAGAGATGTCGAAATTTGTGTGAGAATGGGGGGTGCGGGGGCCTCGCCAAAGATGCTGCCAGCATGGGAGTAGCGTAGTTTATCAATAATGTGCTTCTCGGCTGCAATGTAGCCACCATTCGCCCCAAAGGACTTTGTAAGCGTTCCCATAAGGAGGTCGACTTCCGCCGTATCCACACCAAAATAATCGCAAACGCCGCGTCCATTAGGTCCCAATGCACCGATCGAATGAGCCTCATCAACAAACAGGTTAAACCTGTATTGCTTTCTAAGATTGATCAAAGCCGGAAGATTGCACATGGTTCCCTCCATAGAATATAATCCCTCGACGACGACAAGAATCTTCTTCCACGGACGGTGAGTGCGAGGTTGGCCTTGAGAAATCTGTTCCCTCAGAAGACGTTCCAAATCCCTCATATCGTTATGCTTATACATTCCGATAACGGCACCAGAGATGCGAACACCGAAGCGAATTGAGGCGTGGTTCAGTTCATCCGAAATTACCAAACAGCCCTTACCAACCAAGGCCGAAAATGCAGCAGCGTTCGTACCATAGCCCATAGAGAAAACCATAGCAGCGGGTTTCCCGACAAAGTTTGCAACCAAGTTCTCAACGTCAGTATGAAGATCCAGGGTTCCTGCATCCATGCGCGAGCTTGCAGAAGACAACCCATATTTGCGAGTGGTATCCTCAACAGCGTCGGCACAAGGTCCCTCCGATTGGGCAAAACCGAGATAGTTGTACGAGCTCATATTCAGTGTTTCAGTCGAAGTACCACTAAATTTAAAGGTCTGGTTAAAATCATCCGACGTTCTATCAAGGACATTGATAAAACGGCCCGGGACGCCAGTGATAGGGCGAGCGAAACAATCGTTGATCCTCATCTTCAATCTACGAACGTAAAAGTTGTCGAAATCGTCGTTAAGCGGAGCATACCCCTGTACGGTAATTATTATTAACGGTTGTTCCTGAGCTATCCCCGCGGCTGCGCCCCCGAGCAATGACGACGACTTACATTTTGAGCCTTCAAATGTTTGTAAGTCTCAACCTTGAACCTCTTTCCGAAGAAATCCCTCACATGCCCAAAAATGATAAGAACCAAATACGAGATGTAGGTCGTAAGCAGATAGTAGTATGGTGGCTCATCTTCAATGGGATGCTCGATCTCTGCTCCCTTCGGATGCTGAGAGACGTATTGATGACTGGCATGCCCAAGGGGACCAAACTCCGCATGCTGTCTAGCCAATTTTCTCGCGGCCTCAGGCGAGGGGGGAGAAAAAAGCATCATCGGTGTATCCGAGGTTTTATCTGCCGTGGCCGTTGAAAGAGAGATGGTTGGCAGGGAAACAGAGGGAGAGAATGCACGGGCGTTGCTCTGTTCCTGGGCAGCCAGTAGGGAAGCTGATGCGGTAAGGTACCCGGGAGGAGAGCTCGCTGCTTTGGGCGATGATGAAAAAAATTGAGCAACCTTAGAGGCAGCACTGCGGGATGATGGGGAGGACCGGGTTCGAGGAGTGTCGTTGATGGGTATTGGTACCGTCGGCGACGCAGAAGAAAATGGTCTCCGAGGCATTCTCTCTGAGAATTGAATAACGAAGAGGAAGGAAGGAATTGGGCAACAGGTGAGTACAATTAGGGTTGGTAAGGAGCGACTCGTATTAGGGAACCAAATACCGGGACGATTTCTTCAGGAGATGTGTCGGGTAAGGGGGCGCAGATAGTGGGGGGGGGGGGGGGGGCTTGTGGTTGTCGTAGCTACGCAGCCAAGTTACGCGTTACCCAGGAAAGCGTTCGCCAGCCCGACCGACAACACAACACAGAAACTCGATTAGAGGACCTGTGAAGATAGCAATGGTTGCGGGAGGGAGTGTGTTGACAAGAGGAAGACGCGGAGAGAGGGGGAAGAGAGGCGGAAAGGATGTGAGAGAAGAAAGAGGAAAAAGGTAGAGAGATTTGTGAAAGAAGGGAAGAGAATGGGGCGAGAAGTTAAAATTACAAGTACGGTAAATTAGAGTAGTCAGCAATATAACGGACCCTGTACCTTACCGAAGAGGGGAGAAGGGAGAACGAACAGCCCGGTTGCAAGCATGCGTCACTTCAACAGCCTCCGTGCCTCTTCCCCCCCCCAACAACAACCGGTACCGGTATTGTGCCGTAAAAGTCAGTCCCTTGCTCGGACCGTCCAAACCCCCGGCATCCGAGAACAAAAGGGACCTCTTTCTCGACGCAAGAAGGAATAATAAACACAGCAAAAGGGCGGGGAGTACACGGAAGTTAGAAAGAGACCAGAAAGAAAGAAAGAAAGAAAGAAAGAGAGAGAGAGAGAAAAGGAAAAAAGGACCGTATTAAGGGGTGGAACGGCAAAACCCTTGTAAAACTACTCGCCAATTGTGCGATGAGCGGCCGAAAGCGGCGAACACATGCGGCAATTCAAATCTCCGTATTTAAAACCGACTTTCATTGTTTTACCGCTCTAAGGGATACTGGTAGTCTAGCATGTACTGTTGATATCGAGGCTAGAGAACTGGTTCTAAAGGTTCTAGAGGATTCAAGGCGTGGATGCTAGGCCCTTGTTTTTACTCAATGACGTAGAGGTAAGCCTGTCGGCCAAAAGTTCGCCAAGCCCAGTCGGCCAAAATTTCGCCCAGCCCAGTCGGCCAAAATTTCGCCAAGCCCAGTCGGCCAAAATTTAGCCAACCCCTGTTGGCTTGGTGAAATTTTGGCCGACATGCTTGACATAAATAGGGTTCTGCACCTCCACGTCCATTCCTCTGTCTCTTTCCTCCACCATCCTTTTTTTCTCCACTCGCGCTTCCACTTCCGTTTCCTTTTTCCATTTCCTTGTTCCATTTTCCATTTTCCTTTTTGCTTTTTCCTTTTTCCTTTCTCTTTCCCTCCTTCCCCCTCCGCTCCTCTGCCCCTCCACTCCTCTGCCCCTCCACTCCTCTGCCCCTCCGCTCCTCTGCCCCTCCGCTCCTCTGCCCCTCTGCTCCCCCAATGTTCCGCACCAAGCTTATTACGAGGCTTACGGGCACAAGACCTCTCGCAGGCTTGAGATCACCAGGCCGCCTGAGACCCGTGAACAGTCAGAGATTGCTGGGCACCTCGAGACCATTGGATGGTGAGCAACCAAAGTCAACTACTCCAACAACTAAAGAGCCACTCCCCTTGACTAAGGATCAACTGGTACATTGACTTTTGCCCTCCTCCCTTTTTTTTTTCTTCTTCTTCTTATTTTCCTCTTCTTTTTCTTTTTCCTTTTCGTTTCTATTTCTTTTTTTTTCTTTTTCTCTCTCTCTCCTCAGCTGGTCGGGTACTCTTTTCTTTTCATTTCTTAACTTATTAATAGTGGGACCGTCTTTCGGAAGTTGAGAACCGCTTTATTAATCTCTTCCAGGTTTTTTTTCCTTCTATTTCTTAATCTATAGTAGTTATATAGCTTACTGACTTTGGTGATAGAATGTTTGTGAACGGGAAATGGGAACCCGAACCGACTTCGTGCTGCTGAAGTCTACCATAAAATTTCTTGGATGGGAGGTTTTGGCTTTTGTTGCGGCAGGGATGGCTTCTATGGGTGCCGCCATTGGTGTAAGTCCTGTTTATTTGATTTTGAGTTTTACTGGTACTAATATAATCCATAGGTGATTGTCTACTATCTGGATAAATTCGAGAAGCACTTTCCTGCGAAAGTTGTTGCAATCCTAGTCGATCAAAATGTGAGAAGGCCCTCTTAAAACCTTAATAGTATATTGCTAATATAGTTGGCAGATTCTGCCAATCACCTTCCCACTCAACCCTGCCAATGCCTCTGGCCCAGCTGCTAAGTCTCCTCCTACCAAGTAAGGCAAGACTCTACCTCCTTTTTTTCTTTTTTTCTTTTTTTTAAAAAAAAAAGCGAAAATGAAAAAAATGTATCACATGGATACCTAAACCGACTTTTGTTCTGTTTTGTCTGTTCAGGGATGTATTTGCATGGGGTCGGCCCTTAAAAAAAAAAGCAAAAAAAGCAAAAAAAAACTTACAGGAATACCCGAACCGACTTTCATTCTGTTTTGTCTGTATTGGGATTTCAATGCGTGGGGTCGGTCCTTCCTTTTTCTTTGGTTTGGGGTATGGTTTCAATCATATTAGGATTCAGTTTTTTTCTTTTTTTTCCCACTAGCTTTTTGTCGTGAGAATGGTATGTTGATACTATTTATTCAACTTTTGCCATAGCCCAGCCTGAGCCACAATAAAACAGCCCAAAATTGAACTTTAAAAATAAAATAAACTCTTTTCTTCTGAACACATTGGCAAGTAATCCCAACTCTGAATAATCCCAACAGCAACCCAAACGGGCCCTTATTTAAGAACTGTTCTTCTGTTGTACAAAGTTGAGCTACCAAGCACTATTGCAGAATTGGAAAGGTTAGTACAATTGCTGTACTCGCCCTGTCCTGGTGTTTCTGAATACGACCGGGCCTGCATTAGTGTACATTAGTGTGCTGTCAGGGCAGCAACCAATCAGAAGTGAATAGATACCTTGGTCAGTCAATCAGAATATATGATGTTTATGCTTGTAGATGTAGAACCTCACAGCTTTATTCTCTTAATATCATTCAAAAATGCCAGGAATATGTGGTCCAACAACATCATTAAGTAAGTGAGGTCAGGTCCTTGGGTATTCAATGCTAGAGGGACCTCACAAGATGACATTAGCTCAAATATCAGAGATAACGGGGGTTCTGAAAAGTACATTAGGACGGCCAAACAGCGAGCGAGTGAAAATAACATTTTCGACCTTTGTGCCACCGAGAATCTCATTCCTTTACCCACTTCCGTCAAGGGTTCCAATCAGGTTCTAACAGAGTGTAACGGACAGGGTCTGAGGGTCGGGTAGTTTAAGGCACACCACGATCAGGACAGGCAGGGTTCTGGAGACGAGGTCTAGGTGCGGGGGTACAACCAAAGCGAGTTGTATGAGGTTCAGGGTTCAGGGGTTCAGGGTCAGGGTTCAGAGGTTCAAGAGGACGCCAGATAGTGGAGGGTGTAATTCCTAGGCACAGGGGTTCAAATTATATCTAATTTTATTTATACTCGCCGCGCCAAAACATGGCTTATGGTCGAGCGATCATCCTATCATACACCTACTATAAGGGCAGGCGGGCCTCCGGTGGACCACAAGCGGACCGGAACTGTCCTCGAAAGCAACAGCTTGGGGCTGGGGTCCTCACAATACACCAGCGTGCTCCCCCAAACAACAACTACCATACAAAGCGCCAAAGCCTCCAAGTCCCAACCGTTAAATACTCCCGCGAGCGAGCAAACAGGAAAGCTAAGTACAAGACCCATCACTGACCCCCGCCTCCCCCGCCCCAACTGACAAACCGACCACCAACCCAACTGGAACAGAGCGACCGAAGTCCTTGGTCCCACCAAGCGAGCAGAAGGTAGTTACAGCCCGCGACCATCACAAAAATAAATCAAAAATATCAAATCTGGTCTGAATACTGTCCCGTAAACCCAACAAAACAAATCCTCCACAGTAGAAAACCTCCATGCTACAGAGCCGACCACCCACCAGGAGGAAACATCGGGGGTGGCACCAACGCCAACCTACGTGACTCAGCCAGGTCGGCAGCCACTCAGGAGGAATGCCACACTTGCAATGGGTGTGACCGCCAAGCCCTAGTGTTCAGCCAGGTTCCCAACCGGGCCGGTACACATCAGCTCCCACCAGGGGAGCCGAGAGCCAATCACCCCACACCACCCTAAATAATCAGGGGGGGGGACAAATCTCAGAGTCAAAGCTATCCTCACCCCACGTAACGGACAAGGAGGAGACCCAAAAGACAACGTAAAGGCCCACGATTGGACTATGTTACAGGAAACGGGCTGACGTAGGAACGATGCGAAGCAGACGAGTGACCGAGTGTGTCGAACCTAGAAGTAAAACCAAGAGCCGAAGCCCTCAGCCAACTGAGGAGAAAGGATGTCAGCACCAGAAAACCTAACACTATCCAGTCTCAAACCTGAGACCCTGTCACAAACTATGACTAAGCAAGGCAGATTTCACATAGCTCGGATTTCTAAGTTATAGGTATGTTGGGATTTCATATGACGCACACTAGTGCGCCATAGGTTATTATGTTTACCTGTTCGTGACTCACAGTTGTGAGTCACACGATGTTATGATTTTCGCACATGACTCATACTTATGAGTCATGGGTTTTATTTAGGCATATAGCGCAGCGACTCATAGGAGTCGCCTGATGGATTTCATATGACTCACGGTTATGAGTCACAGGGTTTGCGTGACGCGAGGTACGAGTTACGCCAGGTGAAGAGAGACTATATAAAGGATCACTAGGACCCTGGGTAGGAGCTCTTCACATGTTCTTCTTGTTTATTTCCTACCTTTAAGTTATTATCAATAAAACCTACCTTTACGCTCTTTAAGATTTATCTTAAGAAACCCGAGAAGTGTCTTTCCTCCCAAGCGAGAAAACTATTTCTTCTCCCACGTCGAACGACTAAGTCCTAAGCGAGGACTAAGAAGAAGAATAAGAAGATAGGCGCGAACAAGATAGTCGTCATAGGACTGGACTATCTGGATCGCGTAGGCATAGGCCTGAGAACTATCATCTTACATCAAGAGAAGTATCGTTACCTGTCACTAGG